GAGCCCATGTCCTATGACAAGAGGCTTTGCTGCCAGCTCTGCTACCTTCGCGATGTAGAATATGGATTTGGTGTTGCCTCATTTCATCATCCTGTCTTTTTCTGCTCTATTTTCCTTGCTTTCTTTTCTTTTCTTTCTTTCTTTTTTTTTTTTTAATGTTTCCTTGTTTCCCCTCACCCTACCCAACCCTACACACGTTAAGTCGGAAAACTCAATGGATCGCAGAACATCTTTAGAGAAATTTGCACAGAACGTGGTAAGTTTGATTTTTTGAGGAATTACGAATCATGAAGTCCAATAAAATTGTCCTAGTTTCTCTGTTTCTAGCCCCATCGCCCCCTTCGCATTCTTCGAGGTAATGACAGAAGTGTCGCCTTTACTCCAAATCAGAACTTGGTGCTTCCAACTTATTTTCCTGTCCAGCCCTTTCTAGAGTAGATAAGGATGTCACATACGAATAACTGCATGTACGAAACTGAGGTTTGGAAATAAGTTTGTATTATGATGTATATAATGAAGACATAATTATTCTTTATATTTTTATTTTTATTCCATGTATCCCTTTCTTTATTAAAGACAGTGCATGTATTTCCCTGCTCTTTCCCTTAGCTCTTTGTTAGGCTTAAAAGATTAAGAACAATGAGGGTTCTGTGCTTTCCACCTCTGCAGGGAGAAAATGATCTATTGAGAACTCTAAAGGCAGAGACTTGATATGAATAATGGCCAGGGACAAGCCATGCCCCATCAAAGACCCATTAGCCTGCCTCTCTTGTTCTTTATTTTTCAGGAAGGTGTTGCAAACTGTTGCATAAATCATCCGAGAAACCAGTAGTTTTCCTACCAGTATTTTCTTAATATTTTGCCATGTGTTTTAGTGATATATATATATATTTGTTTGTGGGGTTTCTTTTTTTTTTTTTTTTTTTTTTTTTTTTTTTTTTGTATTGTGTCAGTGCCTTTAGAACTTTCTGACATTGTGTAAGCTTAAACTAAAGACTTCAACACATTTATTTTTATAGGGCAGAAACATCCCTATTTTCCCATGCCATAAAAACTGTACACCAACACTGAGGGCCAGCACTAACCTGTTATGAAAAGAGGTAGAAAAATCTTGGTTTCTACTCAAGTTTGTCTGCACTGTCTGTTGAGTTGTGTGGTTAGCTCCGTGCTGCTGTGTGTGTGTGTGTGTTGTGGCTTTTGCTGTGATGGCCAGTTCAGTGGAGTTATGTGTGTTGAACTAAATGTAAGCAAACTGGGTTCAACAAAGATACAGTTTTTGTTTTCAGTTTCCTTCGAGGATCCTTGTGGTGGGGAATGTTAATCAGTTCTACTTTTGAATTGCTCTTGTGACTGTGCACAGAATATTAGAAAGACTTTGAACAGCAATATATATGTGGAATATTCAATGTGAGTGCATGAATTAAAGGGATGGGGAATGACGGATTCCAGGAATTAATCACACTATAAACTTCACAAAAATTTTGACTGGCTCCATTGGAGTCTCTGTCCTTTAATATAAAATTTTCTTAAACATCCTTCATCTGTCATCATGGGGAGATAAAGACAGTGTCAAAAGAATTCCCCAAGATTTTGCTGGAGAAAGTGGCCCTAGGCTATTGGAAGGTGCCCTGTGTATTACTTAAGAATTGTTTCAAATTAATCCTTTTCTAACATAATGCTGACAG